CCACTAATTAAATAGAATTAATATTAGATATTGACACAAAAATAAAATTATTAGATCTAATTTGTTTTGTATAGTATCTTCAGAATATTACTCCCTCCGTTCTCAAAAATACTTCCTCTTTTATTTTTTTCCACTTCCAAGAAAACACTTCCATTTTCTATTAAAAAAACCACTTTTACCCTTACTTTTTCATACTCTACTTATCACCTCATACTTTTTCTCTAATAATCTATCTATCACATTTTATTTTTACCATCACATCAAGAGCAAAATTGGAAGTCAACTACAATTTAACACTTCCTTAATTTTACACTTGGTCAAAATATGAACTCTTTTTTAGAAGGGTGGGAGTATTTTATCTAATCTGTATACTTTATAAATTTTTTAATTATAGGTCAAATATTAAAAATAATTAACTACAAAAAAATCAAAATCGAACACATATTGAGGGACGAAGGTAGCAATAATACCAAAATGAGAAGGATATTAGAACAAATTGATTAAGTATAGAAATAGAACCAATAGAACCAATTATCTGGCAACCTTACAATTAATTGTGGTTAACTGTATCTGCTACAAACATTGATCTAGTACGAATATACAATTAGAATTAGAAATAATGCACCACAAAAAAAAAGAAATTAATTTACATCTATAAATTATTTTTGAAGTGCAAATAAATTTTGTATTTGAGTTTCAAATAATTAATTTTCTTCTCAATTTCTTTTTTTCTCAAATTTGATGTGTGCGTCTAAACAATATGTATAAAGAAGAATTGGACTTGATATAAAGACTTGATATAAAGAAGAGAACAAGCTCTTGCTCTAAGAGGAGTATTTGTGTTAGAGTACATCCCACATTGGAAATCCAAGAGTAAAATAATGGTATATAAACTCTAGAGTTGAACTAGCTAATCGATTGGATTCAATTTTTTAATGTGGTTCATCCCAAGTGTCTTATTACCCAATCCAGTTGTCCATATCCATCCCAAATTCTATCAATTTGTTTTTAAATACTTCGTCCCAATTTTGATTATAATTTTATTTTATCTTTCCTATCGATAATTTTTATTCATTTCTGTGATTTAATTGATTATTTGATAAAACAAAATATTCTTGTAACCTTTTGTTTTGTAAAATTTTTGACGTAGTTTTCTAATAAGTAATATTTATTTTTTATTGATGTAACAATTTGTAAATAAAATGATTTAAAAAATTATGAGATTTTACCTCATCATAATTCCCAATTTGTAACTAAAATTGAAACGGAAGGAGTGAAACAATGAATGTACCATTTAAATGTGTAATTATGTTGTCCAAAGAACTTGTCAAGATTTTTATCCCTCATAATAATTCTAATTAACTAAAAAGGAACAAGAATAATTTAGTTTTCTCCGACCGTAACATATACTCGGTAGGTAATCATATCTTTGTGACGTTTTTAAGTTTGGAACAACAAATTACTATCTCAAAATTATAGAAATAATGGATTTTACTAGCAATTAATAACAGCCATGAGCTGTTTTGAAAAACATTTATTATCAAAAAACTAATGGATTAAAATGAAATTTCTTAATTTAATGGGAAAGGAGTGTCAAATGTTTTTTTATTGGTTTGAGTAAACAACAAACCAAATTTCAAGGAAAAATGTTGTGAATATATGACCTCGTTTGGTATTCACGTTAGCGTTTTGAAAAAGTTATCTGATGGTATCCTTTAGCTGTAGTGTTTTCAAAATTAATCCACACTATTAAAATTTTATCCAAAACACTGACGTTATTTGAACACGTTGTTCCTATATTTTTTGTAAAGCCTACCTAAGAATGAGATTAGAGTACCTCCTTTCAAAAAAAAAAAAAAAAAAGATTAGAGTACCTAAGATTAACAAATTAAACAAACTAACGTATGACATGAATGGGCCATCTACTTAATTACCTAAAATGACGAGGAAGCAAATGACATGAACGCCCATCACCCCAACCATTTTCACCTTACCTAAAACTTAAAGAATGTACATTTTAGCCACCTCATTAATTATATATTTTATATTAACTCTTCAAAGATTATGTTTCTAAGTTTGTATTGTGAAAGTGAATAAAAAAAATATCTTATACATTATAATATTGCTCTTTTAAAACGCTAACATTAATATCTTGATATGATATCAATAAGTAACAAGATAAAACTAGCCCAATGTTGGGAGGACAAAAGGGTTAGCCTTAATTTTCTTCACTATTTGTGCATGTGTGTGAATGGTTTGTAATAAAGATTGAATTGTAAAAAAGCGTAGCTCAAGTAGTCGATAGAAAACTTTTGTCACTGGCTACGACTTTTGGCAAAGACAACGTGAGATACTTATTTTCTATATAAGATATATATTGTCTAGATATATGTCAAATATGATTCTTTGTGGGTGTTTCTCTGTGCATTTATAAATGATCAAAATTGTTTGTAAGCTATTTTTAACTTATAAATTAAAAATTACTTATCAATAATAAATCAATAAGGCTAAATGGTATCATCACTAAAAAAGATGACAAAGTGGAAGAAGAAGAAAAAGAAGAGAAAATAAAGAAGACTTAGACAAAGAGGAAGCAAGGTAGAAAAAGAAGAAGAAAAAGAAAAAAAGAAAACTCGCTCGAGGCCTTCGGCGTCTGGAAGCTGTGTACGGCTGTAAGCCACCGAGTGCCGATCGTGGGGCGAGATGTTATGCCAAATAGGCCATACCAAGCTCCACACACCTCATAGCCTAAGCACAAATACAGAGAAATATCTTTTTTATTATTACTCCTTCCGTCTAAAAATTATCTTTCCGTTGCATGTTATGATATTTGATTAAAGTTATTTTCAAATCAATTTATATGAAAAATGGTATGAAATAAAAAAATAAAATTACTCCTTACATATAAAAAAAGTACATCAAAAGATCTACAAAACTAGAAGTAACATGCACGAATAGCTATATTATTTGGCTATGCAAATAGTGACTGGAAAGATAATTTTTGAACCAATGATATCTTCTAAAGTGGAGATTAGAGCTACATTTACTACTCCCTCCGCCCCCATTTTGATTACAATTTTGTTTATTGACGCGATTTCATTAAGTATTTGATAAAATAAAATATTATTCTCACCACTTGTTTGTAGAATTTTTGACGTAGTTTTTTATTACGGAGTGTATAATTTTTATTTCTTATTGATATATATACTGATTTATAAATAAAATAATTTTTAAAAATGAGATATTTTTCCTCATAAATCTCAATCCGTGGAGGACTATGTGAATGGGATTTGTAAAAATTTAGAGTAAAACTGATCTGTTTTCATTAAACAACCAAGACCGATATATATGTTCAAATGTGCTCTGCCCGATCCCAATGTGCTCCGGGTTATGTTTTTATGTTAATTTATGTTTATAGGCGATTGTGAGGGGGAGTTCAACCGCGTACTTCTAGGACTTACGGGTTGAACGTGTTGTTTTTTAGTTTTGAAGGTTTGCCCAACGGCTTAGTGAAAATATCGGCCAACTGGTACCGAGTGGGAACATATCTTGTCGACACCTCATGTCGCTGGACACTTTCTCGAACGGTGTGACAATCAACATCCACATGCTTCATTCGTTCATGGAAAACAGGATTAGCTGCAATATACAAAGCTGACTGATTGTCACAATATAATCGGGGGGGATATAAAATAGGAACTCCCAAGGCGAGGAGAATCCCTCGCATCCAACGGACCTCCACACAAGCATTTGCCATAGCCCTGTATTCCGCCTCTGCAGACAATCTGGCAACAGTGGTTTGCTTCTTCGTCTTCCAGGATACCGGAGAAGTCCCTAACATAATAAAATATCCGCTAACAGACCGACGGGACATGGGACAGCTAGCCCAATCAGAATCACAATAGGCAGAGATTTGTAAATTGCTGTTAGCACTGAGAAAAATACCCTGGCCCGGATGGCTTTTGATGTAACGAAGAACACGCATAGCTGCGTTCATGTGATCGAGAGTAGGAGCCTGCATAAACTGAGATAAAACATGGACATCATAACAAATATCCGGCCGAGTAATAGTGAGATAAATCAAACGACCCACAAGTCGGCGGTACCGCCCCGGGTCATGGAGCACTGCCGCGGCCGACGTGCCCAGTTTGTGCGTCGTGGGTAACGGCGTGTCAGCCGGCTTACAACCCAACAGACCGGCCTCCTGTAAAATCTCCAGTGCATACTTTCGCTGACACAAAACCATACCCGAAGCAGAACGGGCACATTCAATCCCCAAAAAATATTTGACCGGACCCAAATCTTTGAGTTGGAAACACCTGTCCAAATATTGTTTAAAGGAGGTGCATAAAGAGGAATTATTGCCTGCAACCAAAATATCATCAACATATACGAGGACCGTAAGAATATCGGGGCCCTTATGAAGAATAAACAGAGTATGATCCTTATGAGCCAATTTGAACCCCCACTGACGAAGGGCAGTGCTAAGTTTATGGAACCAATTACGTGGAGATTGACGAAGCCCATATAAGAATTTCCGAAGACGACAAACTTTGCCAGGGATAGAAAAACCTGGTGGCATTCGCATATACACCTCGTCGACCAAATCACCATTTAAAAATGCATTATTAACATCCAACTGATGAATCTCCCAACCGCGTGCGACAGCAACAGATAATAAAATACGTACCGTACCCATCTTAGCTACGGGAGCAAAAGTATCTGTGTAATCTCGACCAAACTCCTGATGATTCCCTAAAACAACCAGGCGAGCTTTATCACGCTCCTTTGTTCCATCCGAGTGAAACTTGGTACGGTAAATCCACTGACACCCAAGAGCCGTCCGATCGGGGGGAAGTGTAGTTACTTCCCATGTGTGATTATTTTCCAACGCAGTAATCTCCTGTTGCATAGCCTTCCTCCAATTATCATGTTGCATGGCCTGTTTGAAAGACGTTGGAACCTCACACGAAGTCACAGCAGCCAAATATCCCCGGTACCTGTCATGTAATTTCTCATAATGAACAAAATTGTGGATAGGATATCGCGTACCTGAAGATTTAGACGAGACAATGTGAGGAACAATTGGAGTAGACGTCCGGGCGGTATGACAGTAGTAATCGGACAACCGTGTAGGAGGTCGCCGATCACGAATGGGACGAACAGGCGAAGGCGGACTGTCCGGGTCAGACTCGCCATCGCTATGGGAATGAGGAGAAGACTGCCCGGAGGATGACGGGGACGCCGTAGGGATCGGTGTAACGGCGGGACTGGTTTCGGCAGTGGGTGCGGTGGTCGGGAAATCAGCGTGGGTGGTGGATTCGACGACGGGAGGCGTGGATGATTTAGAGGACAATGCAAACGGGAAAACCGTTTCATCAAACGAAACGTCCCGGCTGTAGAAAAACCGATGGGATTCAAGGTCATAGACACGCCAACCCTTAGTTCCCGTAGGATATCCCACAAACATACATTTAAGACTACGGGGTTGAAATTTATTTTGCGGACGAGGGTTGAGACGTACATAACATAAACACCCAAATACCCTTAAAAGAGACAAGTCTGGAGGCTTTGAAGAAAGGAGTTCAAAGGGTGATTTAACCTGAAGGAGAGGAGTGGGGGTACGATTAATAAGATACACAGCTGTACGCACACATTCACCCCAAAATTCAAGAGGCAAAGAAGCTTGAAACATCAAAGAACGGGCAACATTAAGAATATGTCTGTGTTTACGTTCCACACGCCCATTTTGTTGTGGGGTGTTAACGCATGACGTTTGAACCAGTACCCCCATAGTTGTGTAAAACTGACGCAAGGGTTTATTCACAAATTTAGTCCCATTATCTGTGCGTACAATTTTTATGACTTTTCTAAATTGGGTTTGAATCATTTGGAAGAACTGTTTCAGACAACTAGTAACTTCAGTTTTGTCCACAATAAGAAAAACCCAAACAGCTCTAGAATAATCATCAACAATGGTAAGAAAATAATGAGAACCAGTAGACAAACATGGAGAATATGGCCCCCACAAATCACAGTGAATTAAATCAAACAAGGCATCAGCTTTATTAAGAGTCGACGAAAAACTAGAACGAGTTTGCTTTGAAAAGAAACAAATGTCGCATGACTGAAAATTTTTAATTTCAGCTGCACTTTTATTAAAAGGAGGCAAGGACAAAACTTGAGGTGACGGGTGACCAAGACGCTGATGCAAAAGAGAGACTGATTCGGCTTTGGATGCCCGGGTGAAAGAAGGAAAGACATAAACTCCATTGCGCACTTCACATCGTCCAATCTGCGTCTTCGAAGTTTCGGTCCTGTATCACACAACATTGGTCATCAAAGAAAACATGACAATTATGAGAGTTGACAAGACAACTCACAGAGATAAGATTGCATTTTAAATTAGGCACATAAAGTACATCATGGAGAATCAAAGCTGGGGATACTTGCACGCGTCCACACGAGTTAGCCACAACTCGAGCTCCGTCCGGTAGGCTAATAGTACAAAGAGGCACGGATTTTATATCCGTCAAATTTGAGAAAACCCCTGTCATATGATGGGATGCCCCGCTGTCTATTAACCATTCACATGAGGAAACATTGGACGTACCTTGCAAACGGTCGGAAGTAGAAGGCGGTGATTCTAGCATAGAAAATAACCGGGCAACTTGATCAGGTGATAAAGCGGAGAGGGATGGCGGTGCTTCAGCTGCTGCATGGGCCGAAGGTCCTGTGTTGCTGCCATGCTGGCCGGCGGCAGTACCCACGGCAGTGGGCGCTGTCTGGGAAGCTGTCCGGCCACCACGGTTACCGCCGCGACCTCCCCCTCGATCAAAAGAATGACGACCACGCCCTCTTCCGGTATTCGGAAAGCCATTGATCATATAACACCTGTCAACCGTATGTCCCGATTTTCCGCAATGAGTGCATTGATACGGGTTTGGTGTCGTCCGTGGGGCCGCAAATGCCAAAGCATCCGTGTGATCGTCACGAGCACGAACCACACTTTTATGTCGTTCCTCTTGAGTAATCAAATAGAATGCCTTATTAAGATCCACCAATGGTTGAGTTCCAAGAATTTGACCACGAATGCTACCAAATTGCTCATCATCCAAACCCAACAAAAACTTCCGAGTTTTTGATTTTTCCGCCCGATCCTTCAACAACGCCGCTGTTTCACACTTGCAACCGCAAGTTGGATCCTCCATGCCATATAATTTATTCCAAATAGTGACAAACTGATTATAGTAAACGACCACAGTTTGGCCTTTCTGACGAAGATTTTGCAACTCGTTCTCGAGTTGGTAAATGTGAGGCTCATTCACCGTGCTATAGCGCGCCTTCAAATCTGTCCACAATTCATGAACCACAGTATGGGAAGCAATACTGGGTTGAATTGTTTCTTCAACACTGTTAAAAATCCAACTACAAATTATAGAATTATTGGCTTCCCAAGCCTCAATTTCCATCGGATCTGTAGGTTTAGGCACACCAACGGGTGACAAAAACCCTGCCTTGCTAGGACCCTTCAACGCATTTACAATAGTTTTCTCCCATGTATCAAAATTATCGCCTTTCAAAACATGCTTCGTGAGAGCATTACCTGGGCCTTCGGAAGGATGAAGATAATACTCAGACGAGGGATCATGAATCAAACGAGTTTTCTTCGTGGTAGACGTCATTGCCAATTTTCAACGAGAAACAGAACAAAGAGCAACAAAGAGACCAATAGCAGTGCCGCAACAAAGAAACAGAACAATCGCTGGAGAAACGCCGAAGAATTGAAGAAACAGACCAATAGCAGTGCCGTAGTTTTCTTCCAATAATTGAAGAAACACTGCAACAATAAGCAACAATAAGAAACTCTGCAACAATAATTGAAGGACCAAACGGCCTCTGCCGAAGAAACTCCTAGCGTCGCCCCGTACTCAGCGATCGCCGACGGGAAATTCGCTGGCCACACACGATCTGTAAAGGAGGAAAGAGAATATTTAGCATTTATTAGCATTTATTTCCGTATATATTAGTTATGGTAGTTGCCTTGTATAGAGATTCCTTTTCCTTTGTTAATTAGGACTCTTTGCTATATATACGGCTGTATTGTAAATTGTAAAACACAGAAAGGAATACAAAGATTTTGATTCCGAAACAACTCTTTCATGGTATCAGAGCCGAAACTCTAGGAATTTCCGCACGATCGCCCGGCATCGCGTCCATCGATCGTTGCCCGCTGTTGCTGCTGAGAAGACCGGAACGATCGACCGTTTGTTCATAACGGTCGAAGACATCGACCGTCCCGACGGCAGAAACTCCAACCGCTGCTGTTTTTGATCCAATTCTTGAACTCTGTCATCTGGTATGTCTGAAGAAACGCCTATGAAGATTATTTCCAACAAGAAGAATGAAGATCGAGAGGAGGAGGAGGTCGGGGTGCGACGTCGTCGTATCTCTCCTTATGATCTATCTCCGAGCGACAATCCGGGTATGATTTTGACCCATGTTGTTCTCAAGGGAGATAATTATGATGAGTGGTCCAAATCTCTGCGTTTGGCTCTTCGAGCACGCAAAAAGTTTGGATTTGTTGATGGGACAATCGGGATGCCTGATCCTGAAGATGAAGATTTTGATGATTGGTGGACAAACCATTCGCTCTTGGTCTCTTGGATTCGGAACACGATTGATCCAACCCTGAGATCGAGCATATCGATCATGGAGAAAGCTTCAGATCTGTGGAATAAATTGAAGGCTCGATTTTCTGTGGTGAACGGACCAAGGGTCCAGCAGTTGAAGCGAGATTTGGCGGAATGCAAACAGAAGAATCTTTCCATAATGGAATATTATGGAAAGATGAAGAAGTTATGGGACGATCTAGCAGATTTAGAGCAGTTCCCGGCTTGCACGTGTAGAAATTGCACGTGTGACATGCAGGAGAAACTCGCGCAGATGCGTGAAAGGGAACGCTCCCATCAATTTTTGATGGGTCTGAATGATGTTTTGTATGGGACTTTGCGGTCAAATCTGTTGGCCCAGGAAATCATACCACCAGTGTCAAGAATATATAACATTCTTGTCCAAGATGAGACGGCACGGCATGGCGTGCACAAAGGAGAAAGCAGTGAAGCAGGTGCATCCGTGTTTGCCGTAAAGAACAAGATGGAGGTCAAAGAGCTCATGTGCTCACATTGTGGGAAAACAGGACATGATATTGAGGCATGCTACAAGCTGATCGGGTACCCAGAGGGATGGGTGTACCGCGATCAGGCTGGAAGAGGAAGAGGAAATGGCCGGGGAAGAAATCGTGGTGCTGCACGAGGTGGCGGACGGACGACCGTGGCGGCTGGACGGTCGACCGTTACGGGAGGACGAGGGGAAGTCCATGCAGTTCAAGGAGAAGAGAAAGGACCATCCCCGCTCCCGAATTTTGAGGATCTGACACCTGAACAGTGGAACGCTGTTCGTCATGCACTCTCGCTCTCCCCTACAGATAACTCACAGAAACTATCAGGTATTCCTGTGTCACCTCATTGGATAATTGATACTGGTGCGTCCAATCATATGACAGGTGATCTTTCGTTATTATATGATGTTGTGGGAGTGTCTCCTTGTGAAATTGGATTGCCTGATGGGAAACGAGTTGTGTCTGTTCAATCTGGAAAGGTTGATTTGACTATGACTATGACTTTGCAGAATGTGTTGTTTGTTCCAACCTTGAATTGCCATTTAATTTCTGTGTCACAGTTGACAAGGGATATGANCTCGCATGGTGTGTGGGTATATTTGCTTGATTCAAAACGAACTGTAGGGAGTGTTTTTAAACAATTTTGTGCCATGGTTGAATGTCAATTTGGGAAGAGAATAAAATGTGTGAGAAGTGACAATGGTACAGAATTTGAGTGCTTGAATGAATATTTTTTGGAGAAGGGAATTGTTCGTGAGACATCTTGTGTGTCTACACCACAGCAAAATGGAAGGGTGGAGCGTAAGCTTCGACATATTCTGAATGTGGGACGTGCTCTGAGATTTCAAGTGGGGCTTCCGATAGAATTTTGGGGAGAATGTATACAAACGGCGGCATATTTGATTAATCGGACTCCCTCGTCTCTCCTAGGGGGGGTTACACCGTATGAAAAGCTTTATGGAAGGGCCCCTGCGTTAACTCACATTCGTATTTTTGGTTGCAGATGTTACGTTCACAACCTGAAGAGAGACGGAGATAAATTTGCACCCAGAAGTATTTCTGGAATATTTTTGGGCTATCCACAAGGAAAGAAGGGATGACGCGTGTATTTTCCAGACACTGGGAAAATAAGCGTGTCCCGAGATGTTGTGTTCTGTGAAAACACTTTTCCCTACTTGATTTCCACAGGTGAAATGTTGAATGAAGATGGAGCAAGTGTTTCTTCTCCAGTTGAACACTACGACAATGAAGATGACATGACTGCGGAAGAGCAGCTGAACCGTTCCACGAGGAACGGTCGACCGGAGGAGACCAGTGAAGCAAGTGAGCTACAGACGGTAGACCCGGTGGACCGTCCCGCTGTCCACGGTCGACCGTCCGAGAGGCAGAAAGATGGACCTCTGGGAGTGCAACCAACGGTCGACGTGGTGGACCGTCCTGAGGACCACGGTCGACCGTCCGAAGGGCAGAAAGATAACCTCCAGAGGGATGATGAAACGGTCGACCATGACGAGGAGAACGGTCGACCGTCTCTGCGGCAGAAAGAAGACGCTCAGGAACCATTACAGACGGTCGACCCCGTGGACCGTTGCACGGATGGCGGTCGACCGTCCTTTCTCCAGAATACAGCAGAGACCTTGGGACGTGGTCAGCGGGAAAGGCGCCCAAATGTGAGGCTTGCGGACTATGTTACGCATGTGGCTGGTCCGCAGATCGGAGAAAAGTGCAGATATCCACTCTCCTCATATGTCACTTATGCAAAATTTTCTGATAAACATAAGTGTTTTCTCGCAGCACTTGATGAAGAAATAAAGCCTAAAAATTTCAAACAGGCCTTTCAGGATGAACGTTGGAGGAAGGCCATGCGAGAAGAAATTGATGCGTTGGAAGCCAATGGTACGTGGTCTCTTGTTAGTCCTCCACGTCATAAAAAGGCTCTTGGATGCAAGTGGGTATATAAAATCAAGCGCAAGTCTGATGGCAGTATAGAGAGATACAAGGCTCAGCTTGTTATACTTGGTAATCACCAGGTTGAAGGTATTGACTACAAAGAAACTTTTGCTCCTGTGGTCAAGTTGACCACCGTGCGCACTCTTTTAGCAGTCGCAGCAGTTAAGGGATGGGAATTGCATCAGATGGATGTTCACAATGCATTCCTGCATGGAGATCTTCCGGATGAGGTGTATATGAGGTTGCCACCTGGTTTCTCGAGTTCGTCCAATATGGTGTGCAAACTCAAGAAGTCTTTGTATGG